GGTGGACTAACTAATACCAATACAATGAATTTTATGTGCAGATGTATGATCGTGCCATAAGTGCTCCCACCAGCCCCACAAAGATGGAGCAGACAGGAAAGAGAAGCTGGGAGGAGCCTGCCTGGATGGGGTCGTCCCCGAGGGTTTTAAACCATGACATGAAGTCCACAGTTAGCAGGTCGCTGCAGTCTCTGCCCACTTCTTCACATGCTTTTGAACCAGGTGAGGGGAAGCAAATTGTCCTTTAATTTATAACTTATATATGAGGTAGACTATCATCTTTTTTAAAATGTTTTTGTTTAATCTGCTGACAGACAGCCTGTTTGGAGGATTCTTGCTCTTCCTTTACAGTGGGTGCTGGCTCGTTTAAGTTTAGATACCCAGTTGTTTTATACTAATCTTTAATTGTAATGTTATAGAAACTGTAGAAGCCCCTTCAGTTAGTCTTCGTAGATTTAGTTCTGTCATATTCAAATATTTAGGGAACATAACCGTGCCACTCCCATCCTATTACACTTTTACCCATCGCTTCCTCCTGAAAGCGCAGATGAGGAAAGCTCACAAAATCCTGCTGCACTTATTAAAACAATGCATCTGTAACTTGTTTTCTTCCCAGACTGTCTGCGAAGGGCTGTGGGTCGAGCTGCTGTGGGAAGAAGCGATGCCACCCGGTCAGATATGATGCGGGCCCGGATGCGTCTGTCCTTGCAAGAACACCTGTGGGAATTCTACCAAAATAATGTCAACATCCCTGCTGAGGAGCAGGCCATGGCCAGGAGGGCGGCGCTGGACATCTGCGCTGAGCTCAGAGTGTTCCTTCACGCCAAACTGCCTGACATGCCGCTCAGAGAGATGTACCTCAGTGGCAGTCTGTACGATGACCTTCAGGTAAGAGCGCTTATTTTTGGGGATTGTTTTTTTTATAATGACACATTCATTTAATTGGAAACCATTCTCCCCTGTTCTGCCTCCAAGGTTGTAACAGCCGACCACGCCCAGCTCATGGTGCCTCTTGTCTTGGAGAAGAATCTGTGGTCGTCCATCCCCGGAGAGGACACCATCATGAATGTCCCAGGTTTCTGGCTTGTCCGTAGGGAGAATTTGGAATATTTCCCTCGGAGTAGCAGCTATTGGGACCGATGCATGGTCGGAGGTTATCTCTCCCCGAAATCAGTGCTTGAAGTCTTTGAGAAGCTTGTTGCAGGTTCTATTAACTGGCCAGCTATAGGGAGTGTCCTCGACTATATCATCCGTCCCGTGGTTCCCGCCGAAACGCTGACTCTGGAGGTACAGTACGAGACGGACAGGAAGCTGTATGTGGACTTCTTGCCTTTGCTCGTGATGGAGGATGGAACCTCACTGATTGCCAAACCGCACCGGTTTGCTGCAGAGCGCCACGAAAACCTGTGGCGGCAGAGCTTCCGCGTGGCAGAGACCGCGCGGCTCAGGGCACTAGATCAGGAGGATGGCGGCTGCCGCTGCACCTGCCTCAAAGTGGCGAAGGCTGTGTGCAAGCTCAACCCTGCCCTTCACAAGCTCAACTCCAGCCAGCTCACTAATACCATCCTGTTGCTCAGTGAAAAAGAAGGTGACTGGACTCAGGAAGCGCTGGCCGACCGCTTCCTTCAGCTGCTACGAGCGCTAGTGGGGCACTTGGAGGCTGGGAAGCTGCCGTGTGCCCTTAGCCCTAAAGTGAACTTGTTTTGTGAGCTGACTGATCAAGAGGTGGACGAGCTAGGGTATACCCTCTACTGTGCGCTGTCTGATCCCGGGGGGCTGCTGAGAACTGCTGCAGCACAGCCACCACACCTCTGAATGGTAACGCTGAGCTGTGACGAGGTTGAGGGAATAAAAACAAGTGCATGGAATAAACCTCTCTTGTGCAACACATGGTCTCTTGATTAGTCATGGCCTCCTCTACATGCAGAGGCCCGTACACACAGTAGCAGTTACTCAAATGTTGGGGATATGTTAACATTAAAGACGTATCGTTGTGATCCAAATATTATTTTAATCTCAGAGAACAGAGGTGGTTTTTTGGTGCTGATGGCTCTCACTGAGGCCATTGTATTAATGAAGTTAAGAATGGATACACCATTATGGTCGAGTTCCTGCAGAAGACTTGAAA